GGCGGCGGCAGGTGAGAGGCTGAGCCCCAGGCGGGGGAGGGCTCCGGGCCTGGGGCATTAACCGTCCCGGGGACCCCTTTGGCCTGAGGAGCCTGCGACCCAGGCCCACCTTGAGGCCCGCGCCGGACCGCAGCTCCTCAGCGCTGAGGCGGGAGGGGCTTCCTGAGGGCTGCGGGTCGCCGAGGGGCCGGGCCGAAGATGGGGGAGGCCCGGGCGGCCCTGGCCTGGGAGTGGGGCCGGCAACCGGCGGAAAGAGGGGGGCACCCCGGTAGCTGGAGGCCCTGGCAGCCTCCCGGGCTCTCCCGAGAGCTGGCCCTCCCTTCCTCCGTGACAGGTGGGCCTGGAGTTGGGGAAAGTTTGGAGCTGGCGAGGGGCGCCGGGGCCAGGGCCCATCGTTCCTGATTCCTGGCTGTAGGCTGCAGGGAGGATCCCTGTCCAAGGCCCCGCTGGAATGAGACAGAGTGGATATTTCCTTAACATGAGTTGACATTAAATGGAATAACCGCTGGGGCGTCATTTTCTGGGCCAGGCCTGGGGATGGAGGTTTGGGAAATGTTGCGAGAGACCTTGGGATTTGGGAGAGACTGCAACCTCTGGCATTCCGACCCCGATTAGGGCAGGGCAAGAAGCGAGGAAGGCCACTCACTCACTTAGGAGAAACTCGGTCTCGCTTTTTCTTCCTTTTTCTTTTTTAAAAGATGCTTTTCAACCCTTCTGAGAATTTCCTAATTCCCGTTCTAACATGCACTTGTAAGTGTGGGTGAAACTTTAATTTGTCACCCTTTCATTCCCCTTTGCCCCAGGCTCTCAGTCCAGGAAGGGAAATGAAACTGGAGGACTTAACTTGTAAGGGTTGATACTGGAGATTGTGGAGTTGTTAGATTGCAGAGAATGTTTGATTCATGTTTTTACTGAACTTTAAAATCATGCCAGTCATGCCAGTAGCTACTTAATAATATGTTTGAAGGGGTTCTATGCAATGATATATGCTCCTTTTCCTTTTTAAATGTTAAAGAGAGGCTTTCCATGGATCGTGCAAGAGTTGTTCTCTTGCAGAGGATGGACATATTTGCTGAAAGTAGCCTGTGCATTAATTGGTCATGGAAGGAGTTTAAAAATGGTGTCCTCCTGCCCCTCCCTGCTTGGAAGGACTGCTGAAAGCAGATGTCCAGAGAGACCTACTGCTCCAGGGAGTGGTCAGAAAAAGATTTTGTAAAGGGATTGTTAAGTAGCTATATTAGTTTCCTGAGTGAATGAGGTCGATGGGTTTTACCATTGGTTTTTTTAATTAAATTTAAAATAATTAACATCTTTTTTCATTAGCTACTGTGAGCTCTTCAGAGAAAGGAGCTATATAATAATGTTACTTGAAGTTATTTGTAGCTCTGATTTATGCTATATTCTTTTGAAATTGTTATTAACAGTTCATATTTTTAGTTTAAGAACTAGTGTGTTTGGGGAAAGAAATATCTGAAAGTACTTTACCTAGATTGAAAGGATGATAGGAGGAATTTTCTTTTTGCAAGCTAGCCCTTTTTTTTTCTTCCTCTGTAACTTTTACGTAGATTATATGAAGAGTGTGAGAGTTTTTCTTTTTCTTGCTGTTAAATCAGAAGTAGGTAAGAATAAGTGACTCGTATAAGAGGACTTCTGAGACACTTTATAACTTTAAGTGTATTACTATTTGATGCAGCTCATTGTATTTTATCACCCATATACTGTATGTACTTGAGGTTTACCTGTATGCCCAGTAAAATTATTACTGTGAATTTTGTTAGAAATAAAATTGGTTCCTCACATTTTAGTTTTGAGGTTTCACAGACTACTTTTCCTTTTTCAGTAGAAATGATGGAAGAATTGCATAGCCTGGACCCACGACGGCAGGAATTATTAGAGGCCAGGTTTACTGGAGTTGGTGTTAGTAAGGTGAGTAAACTAGCAATAATGACCACTATTCATGGTCAAATTTAAACATGTTTTTAAAATGAAGAATAATTTGGGTGGACCATTCTGATAGATTGCAAGGGAGATTTGGCTCATGGTTCTTATCATTCTGGTAATCATTTAATAGTGCATTTGAAGGTGTTCTATACTCGTAGAGAACTTTATAGTTTATAGTACGGGAAAAAGTTTATACTTTCTCCTTTCTGACATAGGAGAGGTTTCTCATGGGTCCTGTTGCAAGACTACTCAGAGGATATATATTTAGATTCTATGCCATATTTTGTTAAAACTTCTCAGTGACTCAGAAAGAAACTGTTACTTTTAAGCCATTGCATAGCTTCATTACACTGGACTTTTTGGGTAGTTACATGGTAGAAAATTGAAAAATCTGCCTGTGCAAAGTCTTGTTAATTCTCCAAATCTGCAGCTCAGCAGATTGTTCCTGGTTGCACCTCTAGACTGCTTTCTCACACTACCTATTTTACCTTGTTTACTGTTTGTATTTTTGTTGTGGGAGTATAGAATAAAATCAAGTCCCCATTAATGGGCAGGTATGAAGTTAAGTAATGTATGGCTTCCTATGCAGCTTTATATACCCAGCTAGTCTTGCCTTTTGCCCTCCTAGGATGATTTTAGAACAGTATATAAAACAGTTAAGATTTTAATATAGGCTCAGTGCCTGTGGCTCAAGTGGCTAAGGCGCCAGCTACATACACCTAAGGTGGCAGGTTTGAATCCAGCCCAGGCCCGCCAAACAACAATGACAGCTGCAACCAAAAAATACCCGGGCGTTGTGGCAGGCGCCTGTGGTCCCAGCTACTTAGGAGGCTGAGGCAGGAGACTCGCTTGAGCA